ATATAGTTTCTCTCTGTCTGTCTGCTTATGTACAATTTATTTCAGAAAAAGATAAGTTTAATAACATGCATATATTTAGCCACCACGTGTCTCAGCAGCACGTGGAAACCCGTCAGCTCGACAACGACGACGATTATCGGGAAGTCGGCGCAAAGAAATTCCTGTTCTTTTTTACTTCCCCACGATCCCTGTCGCACGCGAGGGATAGTTCGGAGACAGAGAGCCCGGAGGAAGGGAGCAGAGTCGAATTGAGAAAGATCAAAGGGGTCTCCCTCTTGCTTGCGCTATCTTCTCGATACGTCGTCCTCCTCGGGACGGCGTGTTTCTCGCTCTTGATACTTGCGCGCGCGTGCGAGGACGACCGGCATTTACTCTCGTCACATTTTGCATCGCTTTTACGTCGTTTTTGTACGATTTCGATTTTCGCGTAAAGAAACGAGGAGACGGGAGACGACGAGGGGATTCCTCCCGTACGATCGAGAGTAAATGCCACGTCTCGCGCGCGTCCGCGCTCAAACGGTCACGCTGCTTACCCGGTTTTAGGGTCTTTAGAAGAGCAGCGGCGTTTCCGATCGATATTGCCGTTCGAACCATACGATACCGTTTTTACCACGTTTTTTATTCATTTTTATCCCGTTCACCATGAACCGCGCGTGTACGATAACGCACGATCAGCCGAACGCCCACACGGAAGAGTCTCGCCCGCGTTCCTTCTCGGAAATCCCATTTTTCTTTTCTTTTTTTTCCCCCTTCACTCGTTCGAACGCGACGGCTCTCCTTGGGAGAGGTCTTCCTTCTCCTTTGTCTAAGGATAACGCAACGGACGTGGGGCATTCGCCTTTGTCGATGCCGTGAGGCGAGAGGACGCCTCGTCCGGATTACGTCTGGATGAACGCAGGCGAGCATTCTTTCCGCCTGTGGGCCGCGAGGCTCGTATCCGCTGGGCATTTACCTTGATTTTGCATTGCAGATAAAGTACTGGCCACCCTAGGAGAGGGTACTTTTGGAAAAGTTGTCAAGGTTAAGGACTTGCAAATGTAAGTGCCAGCTCACTTAAGTACATAGGTAACATATTTCGCGTCTCGCACGTCTCTACCACTGTCTCACTTTTATATATATATATATATATATATATATATATATATATATATATCTTTCTGTCTATCTATCGTTTACTTCTATTTATCTCTCTTCATGGTTGCGCCCCCCTACCCCCGCTGTTCTCTTGGATCACTCTCTCGGTTCCGCGCGTCATCATCAATTCACGCGCCGAGGAAAATCCTAAATGCTCGCGTTGCGCGACGATGTTCCGCGGGCAGAAATAGCCATCCGGCACTGTCACAAAATGACGCGCGAGTGGTCGCAATAATAGGATGGCCTTGCACTTTGTTTTGCCGGGCGTTTCGCGACCATCTCGCGAATTAAATCTCTTTAACGGACTACGACGTTATGGCGAACGCCTGCGTGAGAAAGCTCCGTTCTCCAATACAGCGGCTTCGTCCTCGCGGGAGAGCGACGCTGATGAGAAACAATTTCGGTGTCAGATATGATCAATGTGATGAACGTTCTAGGGATCACGTGATGGCTCTGAAGATCATCAAAAACGTGGAGAAGTACAGAGAGGCGGCGAAGTTGGAGATAAATGCACTTGAAAAGATCGCTAATAAGGATCCGGAAGGCCAGCAGTTAGTATCCGATTGTTTCATGCATTCTTTAAGTAATTTTCTAACGAAAACTTACTCGTATCAGATTTTTTTGGACTGTTTACTCGGCTCTACTATTTGTCTTAATTTATATTATAAATTTTATTTAATAATAGGAATTGATTATCGGTCATTCTGTTTTAGTTTGTGCGTTAAGATGCTCGATTGGTTCAATTATCACGGACACATGTGCATTGCATTCGAAATGCTCGGTCTGAGTGTTTTTGATTTTCTGGTAAGTATTTTGGTGAGTATCTCAGACTCCGATTGAGCTGAGTTATTGAAAAGAATTGATATTGAAATTTATTTTTACAGAGAGATAATAGTTACCAGCCGTATCCGTTGGAACATGTTCGGCATATGGGTTATCAGCTTTGTTATGCCGTCAAATTTTTGCACGATAACAAGCTGACGCATACAGATCTTAAACCGGAAAACATCTTATTTGTTGACTCGGATTACGACAGTACGTACAACAATAAAAAGGTATGTTGCCGTCGAAATATTTTGTATTATCAAACTTGAATCTTGATTTGGTATACAGAGTAAGCTTCCATTCTAAAGTGTTTCAAAAAAAGCTCTTTCTTTTCAAGCGGAGAGATATGAGGCGTGTGAAACGAACTGATATCAGACTCATCGACTTTGGTAGCGCTACCTTCGATCACGAGCATCACAGCACGATCGTCAGTACGAGACATTATAGAGCACCCGAAGTGATTTTAGGTGAGTGTTTCTCTCTTGTTATTCATTTTTCAATTATGTTTATGTTGCTATCGTTGCTTATCGTCAATTTTATATTTTTGTATGTAGAATTGGGTTGGTCTCAACCTTGCGACGTTTGGTCCATCGGTTGCATCTTGTTCGAGTTATATCTGGGCATCACCTTATTCCAAACTCATGACAATCGCGAGCACTTGGCCATGATGGAACGTATACTTGGCACAATACCACATCGCATGGCTCGTAAAACTAAGACCAAGTACTTCTACCATGGCAAACTGGATTGGGATGACAAGAGTTCGGCCGGCAGATACGTACGAGACAATTGCAAACCGCTACACGTTAGTATTTTGATTTAATTTCAATTAAGTTTATATCAAACAGACAAAATTTGAAAATATAAATTAAAATTTATTGAATTCTTGCATGAGTAATTATTGGTTTTGTAAAGTAATAATATATATTTTTTTGTCCGCAGCGTTATATGCTGTCCGATGATGAAGAGCATCGCCAGCTGTTTGATCTCGTCCAGAGGATGTTGGAATACGAACCCTCGCAACGTATCACTCTGAAAGATTCGTTGACTCATCCATTCTTTGACGCTCTACCGGCATCTCAGAGACTGCCTGATCCACGGGCAGCTGGTGATTCTCAACAGTCGCACGAACGATCACACTCACTCTCTCGATGAAGCTAGGAAAGGGACCGACCTCCGTTCTGGACAGACACTCCACTTTCAACGACACTACTGCCCTACGTCTTCGTTCTGATATCATTAGTTTTCATGAAAACATGTCTCTTTCGTAGCTACGAGGCTCGATAACATTAAACGGAAGCGAGCATTAATGTTCGAAAAATAATGCGTGCATAAATAAATGTGTATAAATAATGATCATTGAAATTTTTCGCGATTTAATCCGTATCGATTTACTTTGGAATATGTAGAACCTATACGTAGGGAAAACAGTAGTGCGGTGGTGCCGTGGAACTTGGACTAATTCGAGTACATTCAGCGACAAATGATTAGATACATTCAACGACAAACGATTAAGTCACTACCTATTACCTGATAAGGCTTCTGGTAGTCACGATTGTTTGATTTTTATCGCGATTGTCGATTTATGAAACAGCGACGAAGTCCCTGTTACTGGCGCGTAAAGGCCAGTGTGTCTGCTCAGTGTAGCGTAACAGAGTCCCACAATTGTAAACAATTTTTTAAACGCTCTTCTGTACATTTTTTGTCCTTTAAATTTATTACTATGTTATTATGCGATATAAACGAATTTGGGATAAAGATCACTTTTCGCGGTTTGCAATTTATAATCTATTCGATATGAATTGACGACCACGAATGTATTCTAGTAAGTATCAGACTAGTGATAAAAAGGAAGATAGTTTTACGCGTGCACATTGATAGAGTTTACAGAAATCGAGAAAAAGCGAGTGAACGAGAGAGAGAAAAGGAGTGTGTGAATATTGATCACCAATTCATCGTTGTGAATTATATACATCTTGAAACGTACGAATACATATGTAATTGTCTTAGAAAATATTCTTTTAAAGATTCTTTTCTTTCAATTTCATTTCTGATGCAGTACTTGCCAATTTACCATTTTTGAGTTTTTGGCCTAATTAAACAAAATTTTTTTCTTGATTATATATTATTATCTTACAAGAGTTTAAATTAAATTGAAGACACACGCGTCGAGTATTACAAAAAGCGATCATGAAAAGCCAATGTTATCACAGATCTTTGACTTGCACAACTGTATCACCCGTATAAGTTTTGTTTGACCTTAGTTGTATTATATCTGCGAAATGAAAAATATTATACCTGCTGCTCGTCAAACAGGGATGTCTACTTCTTCAAGAAGAAAAAACGATATTTCGAGTAGCAATAAATAAATACACTTCTTTCAAACCAGCATCGATATTTATTTGTTCAACCAGCAAATCAATTCGTACATCGCGCGAGGTCTTGTACTTTATTCACAAATAGTGCCGTTTCGTATTGAACAGGAAAACAAATTTATTCTTATATTTTAATATTTATTCTTATATTTTAATATTTTGATTTTTTTTTTCTACATGTTGGTCACATTTGCACATTTATATGGTACTTAAAATAAAACAAGCCCGATCAACAAGCTTCAGAAAAGTGAGAGGAACTCGTCTTTTAAAGAATCCCCTCAAATATTTGCGTATGTTCCTCTTTCGTAATTTGAAACACGTTCCAAACACGAAATTATCGTTAAATTAAAATATTATAAAGTCGGCCATGAATAAATTGGAGGTATCGACGATTTGTAGCTTGTATCGTATAGTTGCGCCTTGATAAAACTCTCGTAATCTGTAGGTTCTGGAAAGACGGTCGCTAGACCTGCGCGTAAAAACAAGATAAGAATAATTACATACCAGGATATACAATGCCTTGTATTGTATTCTCCGCTAATGTATCTGCAATAATAGCTATACTCACAATTCTGGTAAGCATATTCCATTACCGTACATGCTATATGCAGCGAGCACTTCTGTATGTCGGCCAACGGCGGATAGAGAGTTCCCCTACGCAAATCGACTTGTGTTACCAAATCGGAAAGAGTCGTTGCAGCAAGAAGAAAAATCTCCTCGGGAATCGTGCGTATACCGGCACAAATTATGGCTAACGCGACTCCAGGGAAGATGTAACTGTTATTGCCTTGACCAGTATAGTAAGTTTTATTGTTGTACGTCACCGGTGGGAAAGGCGAGCCACTTGCAAATAAGCATCTTCCCTGCGCAATTCGAACGATGATTGAAATTACTTGAAAACGTTAGCGAAATTTGGTATATTTGTTAGAAATTCGCATTTCAATGAAGCTAAAGAATTGAGAATAATCCGTTTCTTCAGACAAGTACATGATCGGCTTCTTACTTCTGTAGCAATGTACGCTTGTTCAGCGGTACACTCTGCCTTGCTCGTTGGGTTGCTCAGAGCAAAAATAACGGGAATTTTGTTGTTCCGCGCCATTTCCTTCAGTATCTCCGTCGTGAAGGCACCCGGGACGGCAGCTGCGCCGATGATAACCGATGGTTTAGCGAGCTTCACGACTTCCAAAAAACTATCCATCGGCGCGCCCTCGCGAGCGAAAGGCAATTTATGCGGCGTTATGCCGCCTTTCGGACGATCCTTCACTAGCAATCCTTTCGAATCTACCATCCAGATTTTGCTCTTAGCTTCTTCCTCGGATATTCCTTCCCTCTGCATTGTCATCACGCATAACATAGCGATACCTAATGACGCCTACAAATAATTCGCAATTTATGAACGCTGCCATTTTTCTCGCGTGTATAATCTAAACGCGTTTAAAAACACGATTTGCCTTTTCATATCGGTCAGTCAACGTGTTATTAAGTAAATGTTTGGATAACAAACCTCTCCGGCGCCCAGAAACACGATCGTGTTTTCCGAGAGCTTCTTATGCGTAACGCGAAGGGATGCTATTAAGCCGGCAAGGGCAACGGAGGCGGTGCCCTGAATATCATCATTAAAGGTGCAGTAATCGTTGCGATATTTGTCAAGCAATCTGAACGCATTGATATTTCCAAAATCCTCGAACTGGATCAATGTGTTCGGGCCGTATCGCTTTACAACGGCGTTCATGAACTCTTCCAGGAAGTCATCGTACTTTTTCCCGGTGGTGCGTTTTTGTCTGTGACCAATGTACAAAGGATCGTCCAACAGAGACTGGAAAAGGAGAAATATTCTAGTTTCAAATCGCAGAAGATTTGCGAAGATGAATATTTTCTTTTTTGCTAACTTGCTGTAATTCACGCGCTGTAATGACGCATTATAGCGAAGGCGTTTTACCGAAGATGCAATTCTTTCGTATTACCTGAGTATTGGTACCGACGTCCAGAGTGATCGGCAAACAATAGTGGGGCTTGATGCCGGCTAATGCGGTGTACAATGTCAGCTTGCCTATGGGAATACCCATACCGTGAGCACCCAGGTCACCCAATCCCAATATTCTCTCGCCGTCCGTGACGACGATCGCCCGTACGTCGTGCTCGGGCCAGTTTTTCAATACGTCGTAGATGTGCCCTTTATCGTGGATACTTATGAAGAGGCCGCGCGGCCTGCGGTAAACCAGGCCGAATTTCTGACACGCCAGACCCACGATCGGCGTGTACACCAGCGGCATCATTTTACTTACATTTTCTGCTAATAAACGGTAGAAGAGCTTCTCGTTTCTGTCCTAAGAAACAAGATCCTATGTGAGAATCAACGCGTACAAGAGGGGGGGCGAGCCTGATCAAGCGGAGACACGGAGACACGCCGAGAATAGAGCGGTCTCCGATCAAACGGCGATAATACGGATAATTGCCGTGTTGTTTCATTGTACCATTAGGCCTATGAGATATATGTATTTCGAGAGATCGTCCGTGTAGCGTTCCAGATTGAGATGGCAGAGCTCTAACTGCTCCTCTTGGGTTTTCACGGCCGCCGGTAGGAGACCATGTATACCCAGCACCTGCCTCTCCTCGAGGGTGAACGCCATACCCTGAAACACGAGCATAGCGCGTACTGTTTAACTTAGAAGCGAGATCGAAACCTCATCTCGTTCGAAAATAAATAGTGGATTGGAAAGTTTCAAGTAACAAAATAGCAAGCGGCATTGCTCGAGAGAGAGAGACAGGATTTTTGTGTCTAACAATTTCTTTTGAATTGAATTTACGTGTGCTTATATCGCGAACCAGGTGCCGTTATTTATTATTAATAATTAATATCTTCTTGGAAATAGGAAGATGTATTTAAAGAAATGCGGATTCATATGATTTTGTTGAGCAAGATATATCTATAATTCTTCGTCGTTTTTATCGCCAGGCTATTTTTAAACGCATCCAGACATAAAACATTCACTGTCGCGCTATTTCATTATTTTTCCTCGCGACATTGCAAATTCGAAAAAAATTGATCGATAAATCAGTGACCCTTCAATTAGAAAGACTGGCATTGCTGACTGTGCAACAGTCATTAGCGAGCGTAGGTGAAAAGGTGATCAGCTGATTGTCGTCCCACTTCGATTTTTATAGAACGCATTAATGTTGCACGATAAGATCCGGCGACTGTGGGTGATTTAGACGCATATGTAAATGAATTTACCCGCAGGATCCACATTTTCCATGATCCACATTCTCTCCCAAGGATAACGACACACAATAATGCTCGCGGGGATACAGTTGTGCCTAATTGACTCTCGGATGACGTTACCGGGCAAAAACGAGTTATGTCAATTAAGAAAAAAAAAAAATAGACTCAATCGCATCAATTCAATTAACGTTAAATCGACAACATAAAATTCTGCATTTCTCGCAGAAGCGAATTTTAAATTTATCATCTCCTCGAAGCACAGTAAGTTTAATACAAAATATACTTCAATAGCTAGTTTCACTTTCAGAAATAATTGCGTAATTTTAGGACACCTTATATATTTGATTGGTATGTGTAGCGTATATATTGGCATAGTGATTGTATCTCATACAGGGACACTGCCAACGCTTTTTTAAAGCGAATGTTAGATTGTGCCAGATAATCCTTGAACAACAATCAGTCGATTAAATCGGGCTCTATTGTTAATCGCGTTATTTAATTATTCCATCATTAAAATTTAACAAACTCCCATTTTGTTCACTCACACTTTAAACCCTCCGTTATTAGTAGAACTCATGTAGATGTTAACATTGTCTATCAGCTATCATTAATCATCGTTACATCGTTACTTACAAATACTTACAAATTTATGAGAGAATTGTGAATAATAATAGCAAAATTAAAAATATTTGAAAGGAACGACATGTAATGATTTTTCCCACTCTTTCGCATTTTACGATGACACCTTCCCAATATTGTTTGCAATTTAACATCGGCAAGTGAAATTAGCGGACGTATAATAAATCACAACGCGGAATCGTGGCGCGATAAGGTAACAAATGTCTCGATTAATAACATGTCAACATTGGAAAAGCAATTTGCGAGACGACTTGTTATCCCGTCGAGTTATCTCAACTGCGGTTGACGAACCTCGCGATGATCTCATTTACCTTCAAACTGTTCCGGAAAAGCTACGAGTTCATATTATTCGCGCGAAGTTTAATGTTTATTTGTGGACCGACACTAATATTTCTCACATCCGTTTCTTACATTTAAAAGGATTTGAAATTTTTAATAAGAATTTTATACGTGTAGAATTTGTCAGTAAAATCTGATCGTGATTTTAATTAAATTTTTCATTGAGAAAATATCAACTTTCGATCGACTGGTAAAGAGGTAAATGAAAATGAAATTGGATAATTAATGACGTTTAATGACACTCTTTACATTTATGTACGCGGATCAAAGGATCAAGGATCAAGGACGTGAAATGACCCAAAGGGCCAAAGGAAATGTTGCGGTTCGATTATTAAACATGATTAAACGTGATTTAAGCTTTAAGAAGTAAGAAATTGACCAATTATAATCGAAAAGAATAATCGACTATGATTGGTCAATTTCTTACGACGTAAAGATTAAATACTTATTGTGGACCGACACTAAAGGAAACAAAAGTGCAAAAGTTGTTTTGCGATCTACGTCATTTGGTGTCACAGAAATTTTTCTCATTGGAAAAAAAGAAGAAAACAGGTATTGCGACTTTTGTACAACCAAATGTTTTTCTACACGTCGGTTTATCGATAACAATGCATTGTCATATCGCGCATCGTCATGAAAACATAAACGCTGATGTGATAACTGTCGCATAGCAATATATATCGTGGTAATTATATCCGTGGTTACATAAGATATCTTTAGATAATGCAATTTGGTTTTACAATTTCAAGTATTTAGCAAGTCTAATTTGTCGCGGCGCATGAGTCATATGATATTTCTGTAATCTTATCAATTTTTGTCATTAAAAGTTATCATTAGTTCTAAAAGATCTCGATTTTCAAGATAAACAACGCCGACCACGAGAGAATGAATTGCTATTGAATCTAATTCAATAGCAATTCAACGGAAAGGCCAGCGCTCGCAGAGAGTACTTTTCCATTAGGTGAGCTCGTCTCCGCTCCCTTTAACGCGATCGTAAAGCGGTGACTAACTTTATCTAAAGTTTTATCAACGTTTTATATACTGTTCACACACAAGGTTTTTTTTTATTTATTACTATAGTTATATTACTATAGTTTCGTTTCACGATCTGCAATTCAATATGGGAAAAAAAAAAAAAAAAAAAAAAAAAACTAAGTGTAATTTAATGCAGTAATTTAATTTAAAATAAAAATCCAATTAAATGTAAATTTGTTACCTAAAATTTTTTAAATACCACAATACCAGACAATACCACATACCTTTAAATTCCACAATATAAAGAAAAATTTAATATCTGCTCCTTGGGAAAAAGGAATTTCTATTATTAAAAAATATATGAAATATTTTTATAAATTAAAATCTTTTTAACGTGACATTTCTTTATAATTAAAAACATTTTTTTATATTATAATTCTGATCCAAATATATAAAACACTTGTTTTGACGGAATCTTTGCGGTATGTTATGAGTAAATTAATAATGCCGACAAGGCTGTCTGTAGAAGTTCCTTTTCCTGGAATGTCATGATTACAATGTAAAATTAATTATTGTTTTCAAATCACGATCTTACATTTACATATTCGTTATATAGAGAGATCCTCTGTTTTGTCATAGCAATTAACTTATAATTGCAATGACTTGCAATTCCTGTTTCTTATCTATCACAATAATAATATTGGCAAGCTAAAAATATATTTTATACATTTTGTTATTATTACAACAAGCAACTATTAATATTATTTAATACTAAAGCATATTTAATTTAAGATCCTCTATATTTCTTTTTAAATCTAGAATTAAAAGAGAAATAAAAAAAAATGAATAACTTAAAAGTATAGCTTAAAAATAAATAATCGTCGTCGAATGAAATCAGCTGTGTAAATATTGAAATTAAAGCTCCGTCCACGAATCGTAAATTATATTAATAAGACATAAATATGTTCTTAAAGACTATTTAGAGGAAAGTCGAGATGGGGGGAGTCTGATCAGCCGCGGGAAGGAAAGTTAAGATTTGGAGACGAGACTTGCAAGAGAGAAAGTCCGGATTCTGATGGAGGAAATCGCAAAATCAGGTGCGAGCAAGAAACGAATACCCTTCCATCCAGAGCGAGCAGTGCCTCGGGGATGCGCGTGGTCCGATTCTGATCCGGAGCGAGATTCCACCAATCGGTCTCCATTATCTCCGCGGCGCGCTATCACTCCGGATTTTTCCTTTCGGGATTTTCGCGACATCCCGTGACAAACAACCGACCGTGGAAACGGTTGCTGGGGTTCTTGACTTCCCGTGACAGCGACCCTTCGGCCCGTGCACGGATCGATAGGCCCGCCCTATTCTTGAATTCTTGAATGTAAAGTGACTCCCATGACCTACCGCAAGTACCGCGCGTACCCGTCGCTTAACAAAAGACCGATCGTTGCTCCGAATGCTCAATGAATAATTTCGCAAGTACACTTTATAAAGATATCACAGAAAAAGAGAAAGAGGGAGAATATATCTTATTTTTCTTTTTTCTTTTTACACTGTGAATTTTCTGAATGAAAAAATTCTATCTGAAATCAATTCGAATTGCGTTTGCAAATGGCGTAGTGAAAAATATCGAAGCAACTTTTCACAAAATCCAAAAAAAATGTTATTAAAAATGTTTTCGAAATGTTGCTGAATTGACAATTTTCTAAATAAAAAATGAACGAGTGTTCTCTCGCATTGAAATAATTCTCGAGGAGAAGCAAAAAGAAAGAAGCCCGTTGGGAAACGAGTTGAAAGGATTTTCCGTTTTCTTGATCAGCGGTGGAGCAATTTAAGATACGATTTCCAGGCGGACGGGGCGATTCGAAGAAAATTCGAGATTGTGCCAAACTCCAGGGCCGTATTAACTCGTGAAAGGGACTCTTAACTATATCGAATTCCGAGATTGCGCAAGCGTGGAGGGCACCGCGATGAGTTTCGCAAAGTCATGCCACTTTCTGCTGTCGAGCTGCAATCTGATTTGCCGCGTACACAATCGTTGCACGTTGCAAAATTTCAGATTTCGTTTCAAAGCTTTTATTCAACATACGAATTAAATCAAATCATCGATTCGTAAATTCATAATCTGGCATCAGTTACCTATAGCTTCGTAACGGACGCTCTAATATTTATTTCAATCTTTAAGATTTGATGTAACTTGACGTAAATCGCTTCATCAAAATGGATTTTATCGCACATTTTAATAACATCACATCCAATTTCTTTCCTTTTACGGAGTGACGCGAAATTTTTAGGAATTACTGTTATCGAATGCACGCTTCCTGAAACCGGACGCAAACATCTGGTGAAAGCGTTTTCTCGGAATCTTCTTGTTTTACGATGGTTTTACGATCAGCGCCATACACTTGCGGAAAATTCTATGCCTTGGGACGATAACATATATTTTGCGGTTCAAAAATGCGCGTTATCAAAATGTGTTTCATGATAACAAAAATGTTAGAAGGATATCCCGAAGATAAAGTCGCCGGAAAATCACTCGCCCATTTCTCTCTCTTTTTTCTCTCATTTTTTTCCTCCTTCCGCGCTGAGTAAATCTCCAGTTAGGCGGATCTGTTAGCCACCGCCCGTAATAGGCCCGTGATTCTGTCATGAATAGAAACGGTCATCGTCTCACGCGTCTGCCGTACGCGAGTGGTCAGTGTGCGTTTCTGTTGCGTGACAGAGCCTTTGTTTACCTTGTTCAACTGCGGGTTCCAGAGATGATCGAGGCCACGCAGAAGACCAGCGCATTTCACGTCGCCGCTTCCTCGCTGGCCCAGCTGATCGCGTTCCAAGCTCATGGTAGGATTGTTCTTGTCGGGTTGGTTACTACTCTGGGTCCTGCGAACGAATGCCACTTGTCTGAGCGCGAGTCCGAGTTGGGCGCAAACGCACGGGTAGGACGCTAGGTAGGACGGAGACGCGAGGTGACGCGAGGTGACGCGACGCGACGGTGACGTGACGTATGCGCGTCGGTGAGATCAAAGGGGTAGAATAATGAATACTCGCTGCGCCCGCCGGAGACGGCCTTCAACGATTGATTCTTCAACGTTAAGCATATCTCCCGCTGATCATACACTACTTACGTAAATAATTATCACGGTATTAGAACAATTAGTTCGATTGTTCTTTAAAGTTTGACCGAGAAGTGTCCATAAGTGTTTTTCTTTCCGAAACATTTCTCCCTGCGAATCTCATTGAAAGATACGAAAGATGCAGAGTAACGATAGATACATAAATCTTTTTTTCTTTCTAAATACAATTACCTATTTTATATCGTGTGGTGAAAACTTTATACATTATATTGTAATCGTTGTAATTGTGTACACATGTGTACAATTTATTTAATATTTTTTCTTTTCGATAGACGCTAAAAGCTTGCTCTTGTGAATTTATATTAGTTTATACAATATTGTATGATAAAATAAAAAATTTGTTTTATGTTCGTATAATATAAAAATTTTCTTAATTACTTCCACATATAAAAATTGTGTTTTTAGCAAAATTTCTGTAAAATATGAATATTTCTTATATATTTGAATGTGTCAGAATACGTTAGATATCAGCTCGTTTTTTTCAGGGCGCAGACCGCATCAGATACGCACCTGCGAGGAGGCACGATTCGGCGCACGCGCATTTATCGCGCGATCATATGTTGTGCACGCATTTGCGGAATAACGAATGTCATGTTTGATTCATCGTGTAAAAAAAACATGCAAATATCGATTGCAAATGTCGATATTAGAATTTTAGAAAAATCATAGCGGGAACAAAGTTCGACAAAGGCCGAATCAATTGATGACGTTTCTACACTCTCCTCCGTCTTGGCCAGATCAAAGTTTAAAGTGTACGTCGAATCGTCGTGACTGTGCAGTATTTTCCCCATTGCGGGAATATCGAGGGTAAATATCGATCATATGATACGTGGTAATTACACAGACGGTCGCGTCATTATAAAAGAATATCATTAATGTTCATTTCTGTCAATATAAATTATCTTCATTCTTGGTTTAAGTTATTTTTTTATCTTTTTCTTCTCTACGAGTTAGAAAAAGACAAAGAATAAATTACACTGCAAGTAACATTAATCTATATTGCTGTGGACTTGAAGAGAATGAGATCTACAGTGGAAGTGGACGTGAGAAATATAAATGAAAATAATTGGGATAAAAAGACGGGAAAATCTAATTTTCAAAGTGCCGCTGAACATTACAATGACGTGTTCTCTCTGAGTGTCGAGCAACGAGGAACGTTGCTCGGGTTTATTGCCCGTAAAGTAAAGTAAAAATAAAGCGAAGATGATGCAAGGATTCTCTTACTCGCGTTGCGCGGGTCAGATTCACCATGGCACACGTAATTTTACCTGTCATTGCACAGGTGATGCTGGCGACGGACCTCAGGTTCAAGGTCGTGGGTGACGTAACGCAAATCGCTCGACTGACGGAGAAAGCCCGTCAAATGACGGCCGAGCGGCGTTAGGAACTGTCTCGTAGACATGCTTTATATAAACTAAACGCTTCGCGATTACCCTATCTCTCTTGTACCGCGCATCTCCGTTAATGAAGAGAAACAATCGTCGTATCTCGCACGCAACACACACACACACACACACACACACACACACACACACACACACACACACACACACACACACACACACACACACACACACACACACACATATATATATGTATATGCAAATCATGCACTTTGGTCGGAATTTAGCTTCCTTTCCGGAGCTGAATCACGAAAACGAGGAAATGGATAATCGATACGGAAAGTAAAATCTTGCGCTGTGCAAGTTATCCTCGCACGGATTTATCAGCGTAATCCGTGAGATGCGATAATGCGACATTAATTTCGATTGTCTCATATTGGCCGTTAACTCTATCAGGCACCGACAACTCCTGGGCGCATGATCCGAATATTGGCTGCACGCTAATATTTTCATTTTCGTGGGATGAGATATTTCTAGACAGAGGGAATATTTTCGTGGCGAACTTACTGAACGCGAAGTTACAAAAATAATATACTTTTTTAAAACGTGGAGCGATACAATTTTTGACGTAACTTTTTTCCGACGCAACCTCTTAAGTCATTTCTTATCACGAATTAGCAATAAGATTGAAGTAAAAATGAGTAGCTTTTTGTTAGCTGCGCGTGAAGTTACGTGTATATATATATATATATATATATATTTATACGACTTGGTAATTAAAAATGTTAAAATGTTAATTACGTTCTATATATTATTACAATAAACATTAAAAGGCTTTACTTTTAATTACATGTTCTTTCTTTAACATTCTAAAAATCCCATTTACCAAGAGGCAATCAGAAAAGGGAGAGAAAGGGAGTGCAACTTGATCGCAATCAAGCTAGGTAAACAAATAGACAAAGGCACTTACATCCTGCTATCTCGTTGCGCATTATAGTCTTTGGAGCTGCCGTTGCCCATCGTTGGCGAATCGACGGTGACGCTTAAGCGATTAGTTGACTCGTTAGTTGAGGTCTGTCCGGATCTGGTCTATCGCGAACAGTTTCATAACTCTCGCGCTAACTGGCGCAGCGTGGAAGGTAATGGTATTCCGTGTATTGCCGCGGTGTATCAAAATCTACCCGGTACGAAGGAATTGAGATTTTTCTCTCGAGGAAGAAAATACGCGCCCGGGCCGCCCGCAGCTTCTCGCGCGAGAGCCGGTAAGAAGATTGACTGCCGCGATCACGGGCAGATCACGCAGAGCGTGACTAGCCGTCGGTCGCCGTCGGATCGTCAAGGAGGAGAACGTGATGCTCATTCGTCGTAGCCTTTGTTCTAGTTAGCTAGGTTCTTTCCCATTTCTCTCTTTCTCTCTCTCTCTCTCTCAAGGAGAAATTCAAGCCGTATTTTTGTAGAGGGAAACCGACGCTTCCTCTTATCTGACATGTACAAAGAATCTCTTCTTAACGATCGTCGAGACTCTTTATAATTTAAACCGATTACCGATGATTACTATATTTGTCCATTGCGGGATTTGTAGGGTGTAATCGGTCGGGATCTTTCTTACTGAGTAATAATAATATAACCATAATAATAATAACATAACCAAAATCACGTACTTACGTACATACGTAACGCGTAACGTTTTGTGTCGCGCGCACGGAGAGAAAATGATTTCACGGGATTAGAGAAAAGATTTCTTGTAAAAACTTAATCGCGGCTGTATCGATTACCGTGTTGCAGTTCCGAGAAGGTAGCTCTTCATTCGATTTTTCCAGAAGACGAGCAAACTCTTTCTGACAGCCATTTGTCGACAATGATAGCGTTAGCGTATTCTCTTTCCTCTGAATGTCGTTATTTAATCGATAATCGCTCTTTGTAATGGTCTGATGGATATATCGTGACGCAAAAAGAATCAACATTTTTATTTATCGTAGATAATAATGATCTTTACGATATATAAGACCAAAAAGTTTCGAAGTCTTTGCAAGAAACATATTTATGAGAATGCTTAACGATCATTATGTTAAATTGCGTGTTGAGCACGTTTTAAGAGAGTTTCGTGCACATTAAGGACAAATTATTTTTATTCTTGAAAGTATAACTAATTTCAGACGAAGTTGATGTAAAAACTTATTACTTTAAAAACTTGAAAAATTCTATAGAAAATTAATTATTATATGTGTGTAAATATTATACGAAAAAAAGGCGAATACCGATATTCTTCAATGCTAAAATTTTCTCTCGCTCCTCTAATTGTTTCTTAATGGTGTAGTAAACACGTGGTCAAAGTCACAATTTAATACGACAATCAACTTCGGCAGAGAGAGAGCGAAACAATTTTATTCAAGATTTCTCTCTTTGCACACAGAATCACAATAATATTTATCTTCGTATTTCGTAATTTGATTTGTATATAAATTTATAAAAAAAACATGTAAAATAGTAGCGGCAAATAGCAAGTGAAAATTAATTAAATTTCTAAATAAATAAAAGACGTAAAAATATTTAATTTATTATAATTCTAAAAAAATTATTAGTATATTTATTTGTATTTATGCAATAATTATATTTTTCATATACTTCTAATTTTTTATATTTTACTTTGACTTCTATTAGTCTTCCTCAGACAGCAATCAATCCGAATATAAACCGAGATCTTTATTCATATCATATTAATTATTTTTTGTAATTTGAATTGAATTGAATTCTGTTTACCTTTTTCTTTTTCTTTCTCACATGTGATTGATATATCTCTCTCATTTTAAGTAAGCTTTAAGTGCAACTATTATATCTATACTCCTTAGCTGCACCTTTATACCTTTTTATCTTTTTTTTTTTCCAACGTTTGATTGCGTATCCTTCTCATTTTAAGTGCAAATAGTGTAACGTAGTGCAATTGCTGCGAACAGCCGTATGCGGACATTATACGCGTGTTGATTCCAGTTGATTCCATATGATTTATGTATAGAGTTTATGACCTTTGTAAAAAGTCACATTTGAATTTCTCTAAATTATTATTGGAAAGTTGCAAATATACTCATAATGGCGCAAATAGGAAACGTGGTAGGTGAATTATTATCTCTATATCCTGAATTTCACAATAATTACTTTATAACCTAACTGATCACGTCTATTTACAATGTTATGGAATTATTTTAATTGTTATTATTTCAGTTGTTATAATAATTTTGATTAAGATTTGTCTCTCCTTTTTTTCTCTTTTTGAATAAACATCTATTAATTAGAGATGTTATTGATGATTCTTTTTTTTTTTCTCTATTTCACTTCATTTGATATTTACAAAATAATTTGTAAAAGAACATTTGTTTATATAACGAAATGTATATTTAAGACGGCAGATCAATTAATTGCCGGGACTAGTGTGTTGTCAAGACCTGCTGAAGAATTCGATAATGACGTGAGTAGAATACGCAAGTAATATATATTGTTACATATTGCAAAACTTTTTTTTAATTAATTTAAAAGGTATGTTTACTGTGTTTCTGTTTTAGCCATCTGTCGAAGCAATGTGGGCAATAAAAGCCATGGAACATGCAGAGGTTTATTTCAATGTAACTTATATAATTTTACACGTCCAAAATATGAGATAAATAAATAGTATTAGTAGCAGTAAAAATATTATGTATTTTAGATTTTGTGTTCGGTTGACCCGAAGCTTTTGAGACTCACACCTCACGATGAGCAGATCTATAAGACTTTCAAAGATACCTTCCCTAATATGAAAGTAGACAAAGTGGATGAAGACGAACTGAAATCTCCAGAGGGAAAGACAAAATGGAGATTCTTCTGCGAACAATTTAAAGACGTTGTAGAGGACTACAGTTTTGGTACTTTGTTAAGAGCAGATTGTAGTGGAGATTATTCGGAACAGAATAGCATATTAACAACCAGAATACAATTTTATGCCATAGAGCTTGCAAGAAATAGAGAAGGTTTCAATGATGGTGTACGAGAAAAATATAAACCACAAAAGACTGTAAAAAAATAATCGGATTTTAATATAATTAATTATATTAAGCACTACTGGAAACAAATTCGGATATATAATTCTTCCATTATTTTTTTTACAATTGAATAATTAAGTAAAAAAATATAATTTTGTAAAATGTACACAATAAAAGATATATATGCAATAATATGATGGATATTAAATTAATCTTGATATACATACCATGACATTATAATGACATGGGGAACTTTCTCTTCTTCATTAACTTTACATAACATCAAAATTCTATTTAAAAAAAGATATTGCATTGAATCTTTTTTTTTTGACTGGTTCTCTTTCGTTCATGCAAGAATATTTTGGAACATTATAATTTAATTATTTAGTATTATATGTGTCAGATATCAGAATGAGTCTCATTATTATATCTAATAATAAAAATATGTATATTTTATTTTTTGCTTTAACATGAAAAAAGGATCTAAAATTAGAACAGTAAAATATTAAAAAAAGGAAAAAAATATTCATATAACAAAACGATCGTATCGTATAATTCAGAGGGTTTAGTGAAAGAATGCACGAGCGTGATTATTTCTAGAATATATTGCTATATACACACTTCAATAATCAAAAACAAACATTACAATAATAATAGTGTTATTAATATAATATTATATGCAATAATAGAATCGTTTATCAATCGTAGTGAAAACACTGAAAACCTTGCTTCTTTTCTTACTGGAAAGAACAATGCGTACAATTTGCCTTTGTTTTTTATTATTAATAATATTAATCCGTATAGCGGCGCCCAATCGACCGCACTCGCAATGTAGAGATTCTTTAGAAAAGAATTAGAATAGACGTGTCGCCCTGTTGCGTCTTGTGGCACGAATACTATCAGGAAAGTGCGGTCGACTCGCGAGCCGATCGATCGTTATCATAGAATAATAAATATGACAATGCGATATCTAAAAAACTTGTCTTTTTATAATCAATATACACATTCAAATACAAGTGTACTCGAAAAATGTACATTGTCTTATTGCCCTTACGAACGGTAAAGGGAAATAGGAATTGCCAAATCGTTATACATTTAAGAGGCAGGATAACTACCTCTTTTGCATTTCAGTGATGAGCGTGGCTCAAAGGAAGAAATCATTTTTTGATGAAAATCGTATTGTTTATCTTCTTTTATCCGACATGTAATTCTACACCGAAATCTGAAAATTGCGTCGCTTCCAGATGAGAGGTATATAAAAATTTGGCAATTGCATATTCTCCTCAAATCTTTATACGAGCGGTACACCTGCGGTTCCTCTCTCAATCTCGCTTTCACTCATTCTCTCTCTTTCTTTCTTTCTTTCTTTCTCTCTCTCTCGCTTTCTTTTCCTCGCGTTCGCCCTGTATCTCTGTTCGCTAAACAATATCTGATACAAGATCATATGAGAAACAAGATCATATGAGAATCACAAAATAGAGCTTTGAATAAAATCTGCTTTAGGAAGGATCTTTCGTACGAGTAATAATAAGTAAATTAATTAAATATAACTAATCTATAGTACTTTATGTATATATGGAGATGTGGAATATTTTACACGCTGTAAGACAGATTTAATATATCTTCCTTTCCAGAAAAAAGTTAGCTCAAAACTATTTAAAAGATATCACATTTACATACTTCTCTCTCTCTCTCTCTCTCTCTCTCTCTCTCTCTCTTTCTCTGTGCATTTCAGTTATTTAAAAAATAGAACTCGCCGAATCTTACGTTTATTCCTTAACGGTCGATTCGGATCACTCATGCATAATGAATAAATTACAAAAATCATATAGATGACATCAGATCTTAATGATCTGATTTCTCGCCTGACTCTGCTTAATAATTTCTCTCATACCATTTGAGGGCGACTGATTCTAGGGTGCTTGAAAAGGAAGCGTAAAATAAGGCCAAAGGATACAGTAACGATGGATTTAAACTTTAACTTTATCTCTGTTAAAGTTAAAAAATCTCGTATAGATGGTTTCTCATTAAAGGCTAAATGTCACTAAATAACCTTCTAATACCTTATTACAGATTTTTAATTTTCATGTACAATAAAAAAAATTAATAATTAGGACTATATTTAATGCCACATATGCGATACACAAATGCAACTATAGTCTAGATTTTCTAATTTTTATAAAGACAATAAAAAATTATAAAAGGGAGATCATGGAACTTTTGTTAACGTGCACGCGCTACTTTTATACATGAATAAATTTAATTTGATGGTCCCTCAGAGAGAGTCTTATTAGTTCTATCAAAGGGTGCTACCCTTACAAGATTACATCGTTACGCTCTTTTTTCAAACACCTTAGAGTAGACGTGAATTACAGTACATCTCACATCTTAAGAAAGTAACTCGTATACAATAAAGAACAACGTAAGCGAACAATGTCGTAGCTCATCGAAATAAACAAGGTAAATGTCAAAATTATTTCTTCACTCTGTACAAGAGTCACGACCGATATAAGAGATTCGTCGAGACGTCGAAAATACGCTTGAATGCCTTGAACACGATGGACGATCGTCGATAAGAAACAGAGGTAAATAAATTAACTATCGTAATTAGTCCTTAACAATGACGATAATAACGATACTCTTGCTGACGTTTCTCCGATCGCGTATATTATTATACACTACAAAATTTCCTACCATATTCATTAAAAATCTACGCTCCTCTAAGAAGTCTCACTGAGAGAAAATCGCAAATCAATTGCACTTTCGATTGCGCGTATACGTCGAATACTGCGAGATTAGAAAAAAAAAAAAAAAAATGACATGCGCACTGCATTAAAGACAAATTGCTGTCCTCTACTGATTAGCCGGTGTGCTGAACCACCGTCGTTCTACAAATGCACGACACTTCTGACAGGTGAACTTATTAAAATGGATTATACTTTCATTTTTGCAGCAATAATCTTTATTTCTTTTTTCTCTTTTTTTTTTACAAAAACACTACTTGGCACAGCTAATAGTTTATATATTAAATATTTTGCATATACGAGAACAATCGACATTAATAACGAGCACGATTGTCACTCTTCTACAGCAGAATGCTCTCACATCCGAACTAATTGCAGGAAATTATCGTTATCTTAATTAATTAAGGCAACTTCAGCGTAATTAAAACTTCTTTTCTCTCAGTGCGTGTAACCGAGCGCCGAAAGTGACAACGATGCAACAGTGTGTGTGTGGAAGTAATAATAAGCCGTCAAATGTAGGTAAGCTCTACTTTACAACAACTGTGTATGTGTGTCTGATTCGTAAGAAACTGAGAAACCTAGAAACACAAAGCGAAACACTCACGCAGTCAACGATCTCTTTGTTTCTCTTCTTTTTTTTTTTTTCTTTTTCTTTTCCTTCGAAAGAAAAAGTCTTCTCGTCTTACTTTTCGCGTTACTTCTCGTTTCGCGCGCGTGATCGATAATCAATCAACCAACAACAACAACAGGGCATGTCGTATTTACGCGACCTATGGAGAGGTGTGATACAGTAGCAGTATTAATAATAATAATAAGAATCATTATAGTTATAGATTGTAGTATTAAGTATTAATGTTAATAGTGTGTGATAACTGACAATACAAATATATCTTCTAAACCTAAGATGCACCGGGAGGAAAGTCGGGGAGGTCTCGAGTGAGGGGGGCGGGGGAGGATGAGAAGATGAGGGAGGGGAGGGGGGTAGTCCCGGGTTGAGAATCGCGAGGGGGATGAAAGGTCGAGGGATCCGAAAGCACTGGGCCTCCCAGAATCCTCTGTACTCTAGAGGGCAAAGTGCCCCGAACAAATGTGATGTCTCCTCTCTTTCTCTCTTGTACTTTAGTACCGTGCAATAGTTCTTCCGTTACGTTGACCTCTGCGGGAGGATAATCGGGATAAAAACTCTGGGATTGCCTTTTCTCAGGAGGATTCCTGATTCCGTTAACTAAACTCTGATATGTAGGTTGACAGGGGGGGTTCGGCAAGGGATCACCTGTGTGTGTTCTTCCCGAGTTTGTTCCGCGCAAGCCCAGAGTCTCCCTCGCGCGCACGAATGACGGTTAAATGCGGTTGTCAGAAGGAGGCAGAAAAAATTCCGACGACCGGAAATTCCGGAATACCTCTTTCATTCTTTGGAAAGGCTCGCGTTACGGTTTGCGGTCTAGGAAGTACTCATCCGTACAAATGCTCAACGATCGATGCCGATTCTCTCTGGGACCG